GGGAAGAAAGATCGATAGGTGATCAGTCTATCGATCGGCAGCTGCAAGTCAGATAACTTCAGAGGCACTCTGCAGCGTGCTCAAAGCTCTTCAACTTGGGCGGAAGTTGTGTGGAATTTTAAACGGCCAGCGAGCCAATTACTAGCTGCCATGTGTGAATAATTTAGCACTGGCCAATAGCGGGGCACAAATTTACATTCGAATAGCGGGAACTCCTTGTACTGTGCATTTCTGTGCTGCAAAGAAGAAATGCATCCTGCAAAGGAAACTGCAAATTGGCGGGAACTCTCTCCTACACGCGGGTTCTCAATTGCAGCAGAACACTCTGCCGTGCAAAGGAGCTCTCATGTGGCCAGGAAATTCCATAGTGCCGAGGCACCAAAAATCACTGTGTCGTGACAGGGCAAAGAAAATGAAAGGCCAAAATTACTCTCATGTTGGTGTATTCAGGCTAAACCAACATGAGGGAAATGGCTCGGCATTGCCATGCCTAATTCTTACATGACCTGGCAGTTGGTGGGATCCACAGCCCCGAGTTAGGCTTTGTGGGTGCATCTACATATGCACTTTACTGAGCAGACTAATTAGCTTTGCAGTAAGCATCACCATTTACATGGGTGCTGGTATTAGGGTGCTGAAAACTAATTAATTCCTCCCTAAGATAGTACTGTCTAGGGCAGTACTATCTTAAGGCAGAGTAATTCACTGCACTGAAACACACATGCCAGGGGTGTAAATGGTGCCCAGTGAGCCCAGCCAGCCGGGTGCCTACTCCGCTCTACCTCACATTGTTGCTGTCCTTGGGTGCACGTGTAGATGCTGCGTCCAGGAGCAGTTTACTCTGGCTCGAAGTTCTCCAGCATTTATTGCTTTGCATTAGTAGATACACCCAATGTATACTTATCCACCTCTGCCACCAGAAGTTCTGATAGCAGACAGAACCCATTAGTGACAAGCTGCCATAAGACATGCATACTCATGTACATTTTGCAGCTACACTGCAGTAGCTATACTATTAGAGCATCAAGTGCACCCCAGGAAGGGACAAGCTACAGAAGGGATAGCAGCAGCAAATAGAAAGTGTCAGTGTCTATATACTATAATACAGCTTGACAACAGCAGAAACATTACCCCACTTGACAGAAGTGGACTGACTCTGCCAGTAAAAAAGAGGGTTCCACCACAGAGAACCAGTGAGTGTAACTTCTGCCAGCAAAACTTGTCACTGTCTTAGCCACCTAGGCTTCTTCTATACTGCATAGGCACCTAAGAGTAGGATTCACAAATGTCCTGGATGGGGACATGCCCACATTAGCTATTAGGAAATGCTAAGTAAAGAATTAGAAACCAATATCTGGGCTTCTATGAACCCTCTCCTGGAGATAGGCAGACAAGGTTCTTTGGGTAAATCTGACATCTTTTATTAGACTAATTCAAATAGTTGGAAAAATTCTTCTTTGCAAGCTTTCAGGTACGAATACCCTTCATCAGGCTGAGGATGCATCTGCAGTTGGTGTGTGCTCTTCCTGGATAGAATGAATAGTAAATAAGCCAGAGGTTGGTATGCATACAAGAAAGCCAGTAAAGATGTAAACTGAGGAGTCAGTGGGGGGAAGAGGGGGTGGGGAATGAATGTAGCTGGTAAATAGTGGAGAGGTACCTGAGGAATCAGATGTCAGGCAGGTTATCAATCCAGTACAGGCACAATCCAGGATGCCTGTGGGCTGCCAGCACAGCATGGGCAGGTAGGAGGTAGGTGGGTATGCTATATGTGCATCAGCAAGGAGCTGGGCTATCCATGCAGCTCATGTGGCCTGGAAGATGGGAGCTGCCCATTGATGGTGGGGGAGCTGGGCTGACTATGGCAGAGTGGGGAGGGCTAGGAGGGCATTTGGCCCCTGGCTTCCCAGAAATTGGACAGTCCTGGCTTAATCGATAAGTTGATAGCCCACGGAACAGGAATCATAAATAGTTTTGGTCTCTTGATGGGACAAGTCATGTGTGTAACTGCTTACCAGCATTAGCTAGATGTTCACAAGATGTCCCCAAACCCTCAGTGTTGAAACAATCATACACTTTAGAACCAAAACTTCAGATCCCTACAGGGGTCCCTCAATTCATTGCCTCATAGGGAAGATAAACTGTGTTCCACAATACTGTGGAAGGAACTTTCAGAGAGGCATTAAAACAAAGTCTGTTCAGCTCTATATGAACACAAGCTACACGTTTATGTGAGAAAACCAAGGTTCATATGCAATTACTGAGATTGTGTGCGCAGGTCTAGTAATTGCATATAAAAATAATTTTTACATTTTTTCATCATAGTGAATACATGCAAAAATGGAGGTGCAGGGGTATAGGTTGTACCCATGTTGGTCTAAGAATATAAGTAGACAAGGTCTTTGGAAAAATCTGGTATCTTTTATTAGACCAGT